AGCCACTGCACTGGGCTTAATTTTTTGTTGTTTCATTTTGAGCTTCTCTGGTCCCCTTCCACAGCCCCAGATTTGGCCAGAGTTTCCTCCCCTGGAAGCCTGGGTAGGAGGAAGGGGAGAGGTCAAGCTCTGGTTAAAGGATTTGCTGTGTAATAGAAGCTCTCTTCCATGAAGGAGAGGTTGGCCAGCTGATCAAAGGCTGGCTTTAAATATTTAAAGAGCTGTTTACTGAAGTATAAAATATGACAAGTGTTTTGCATAAAGATACTTCAGCAACAGAAAAGAAAATGTCGTTTAGAGGCAGTCAGTGTGGCAGAGCCCCGTAAGGAATTAGTGTAAGCTTATGGAAATTTATTTTCCTACTGTCTGCGTAAAATGCTCATTTTGTTAAAGCAGGTTAGAATGGGAACCATAAACACGAGCCGAATGTCTCAGCACTTCTTTACATACACTCACGCATATTTTCATGATGAGGTCTCCTAAACCAACTTGTCTCCTTTGCATGAAGCGTTCTTTCTTTTTTTCCCCCAGGGTCCCTTTTCAGCTCTGTGCTGAAATGACTGCATGGGAACTGATAAACTCCTGACTGTTGATTCTTCTTCCTCACTTTCAAACCTTTAAGCTGCCTCAGCAGGGTCAGCTGTCCTGGCGCCAGCCCTTCTTTTCTGCTGCACGTGCTCTTCCCCAGGCATCTGACTTGCTGCGCATGCTCAGAACTACTTGGCTGGCGGAACCTCAGTTCCAGTCACCACCTTACTTCCTGTGCCTGTTAATACTAGCGTGTGTTTATTTACTTTGGTTTTGTTTTTGCTTTCGAGACAGAGTTTCTTTGTGTAGCTTTGGAGCCTGTACTGGAACTCGCTCTTTAGACCAGGCTGGCCTCGAACTCACTAAGATCTGCCTGTCTCTACCTCCCGAGTGCTAGGATTAAAGGCGTGCGCTACCACTGCTGGACCTGTGTTTATTTACTTACTTCTATTATTTTTTGTTTGTTTGTTTCTGATCTCCACCGATGTATTGTGAGCTACTCGAGGTGAGGTTTTTTTCCCATTTACCTAAGCATCACTAGCTGTCTGGGCACTGAGGAGTCAGGAAATGAATAAATTGATTTTGTTCTTGAAAGAAATTATTTAGGGTCTCTTCTAGATAACGTATCCAGTGTCTTTATGAATTAACCATTCTGTTTCTGTGTTAACCTCTTCAGAGTCCAGAAGTTATTTCAGGAAGAGAGACTTGCCTTTGTTTTATTATGTTGTGACTATTATTATTAACGAGACCCATAGTGTTTGAGATAGCAAATAAATACTAAGTGTGCCTGTTATATAGTATATAATATATACTAGTCCATTTTCCATCGCTAGAATACCTGAAGAATAAAAGGCTTGTTTGGACTCAGTATGCTGGTGGTCTAAGGTCAAAGACCAGCGTCTGGTGATGGGATGGAAGGGTCCTGGGTCAGCCCAGAGCATCACATGGCAGGAGACAGAGATGGATGTGTGTATGTCCTCTGTAGAGCAAGCTGACCAAGAACTCATAGAGATCTGCCTGCCTCTGCCTCTAGAGTGCTGAGGTTGAAGGCCTATGCCACCACTTATATCTACATTTTGATCAAAGAAGACAGGCCACGCTAGACACTCACTAGGGCTGGGTTGGGGGTTCTGTGAGTGCAGGCAGTGGGAAAGCCCAGCCCCATTCTATATGCAGGAACTGTTGCTTGCTCACTTCTGTGTGAGAAACATATTTCTGGGAGCTAGGGAATCTTGCCCGCTTAGGGATCTCCACTGATAGCTTTGGATTCCTACTTCAGCCTCCACAACAGAAGTCACCAGGTTTACAGTCAGATACCAAAAGTACCGAGGGTTATCTTGACACTCCCAGTGAATGACACCAAGCATGCGTGTTTTCATACACAAGCCCTTCCCACATCTGTAATTTTCCCTGCTCTTACCCTAACAGAAGCTATGACTTTTAATTCCACTTTTTTCTTTTCGATTTGAAACTGATTATTTATAGCCAGGTTCATTCTCAGGCCATCTTTGGTGAGGCTCAACCCGAGTTCTCACATGACGCTAAATACTGTGCGGGGAGTTTGCTCAGCTGGCCGCTGGTCCACACTTCTAAGGAAAAAAGAAAGTTATCTTGTTTTTAATTTTTATTTTAAAGACAAAAAATATCAGGTGATCTGGTTAGTCAGATCGGCTATGCTGTTTTGCCCGTTTATTTAGACAGCACCCCATGAAAAGAGTTATTGAATCTTCAAGCTCCGGGCAGGGTATTAGGTTCTTGCTTCTTGTAGGTTGTGCTTGAGACAAAGCAGAGAAGGTGCAGAGTGAGCGTGGCTGGCAAGGAGCCTAATTGAGAGCTTCCGTTGTAGTTGCTGAGTCAGAGGGAAACAACACCTCATTATCCCCTTTCCTTTCTGTGTTCCTTGGCTAATACACGTCCTGTTGCCATGGAGGGGACATCTGGATACAGTCTCACAGGACCCAGGTTAGCCTTGGGCTGGCTCTGTAGCTGAGGATGACCTTGAACTCCTGATCTTCTTGCCTCTACCAAAGTGTGAAGATCACAAGAATGTGTCACCACACCTGGTTTTACGTGGTGTTCAGATGTGTCTGAGATCAAACCCAGGGTTTCATATATGCAGGGCAAACACTCTCTCAGCCGAGCTAATCCCTGAGCCCTGACCCACTCTGTGCAGTGTGTATATGGGTCTGTTTCTAAACTTGATTATTGTTGTTTTCTACCATATTCTTGAAGGAGCTAGCAAGGGTACAAATTACACGTCATGGTCTCTCCAAAGATAACACAAATAATGATTCCGCATGTGACAGTGTGCTCAGCATTAGTTCTTAAAGAATCTACATGAGGGGCTGGAGAGATGGTTCAGTGGTTAAGAGCACTGGCTGCTCTTCCAGAGATCATGAGTTCAATTCCCAGCACCCACATGGTGGCTCACAACCATCTATAATGAGATTTGGTGCCCTCGTCTGGCCTGCAGGCATACATGCAGGCAGAACACTCTACATAATAATTAAATCTTTAAAGGAAAAAAAGAATGCACATGAGATACCACCTCACACCCATGAGAATGACTCCTCAGAAAGATGAACAAGTGTTGGCAAGCATGCGAGGGAAAGGAGGGATTCCATACAGTCTTGGCTGGAATCAGTCCAACCCCTTAGGAAAAGAGTCTCTCAAAAGGCAGTTACCCTGTGATTCAGTGGTTTTCCTTCTAGATGAGTACTCGAAAGGAAGAACATATTTCTATACACGTGTGGAAAGAACCCAAATCAGCTGATAGAAAAATGTGGGATATTTATATTGTGGAATATTATTCATCCATAAAAAAGAAATACATATTTGTGACATAATACAAGTGAAGCTTGAACGCACCTTGCCATGTTAAAGAAGTCAGATATAAAGGCTATAGATTGTAATTTTGTATAATATACAGAATTAGTAAAACTACAGAGACAGAAAGAATGGTGGTTCACAGGGCAAGCAGAAATAGATCATGGTTGCTAATGGGCGTGGATTGGGGGACAGTAAAACTTTGCTGGAAATGGAGGGCGGTGGTGGTTTCATAGTCCAAACACACTAAAAACTACTAAACTGTATATTTTAAAAGGTTAGGGGCTGGGGATTTGATTCAGTTAGTCAGTGCTTGCCCAGCATGTACAAAGCCCTGTGTTCAACCCCCAGCACAGCATAAACCAGGTGTGGTGCCAGATGCCAGTAAGCATTTGGGTGGTAGAGGGAAGAGGATCTGAGGTCCAGGGTCATCCTTGGCTACATAACATTCTAGGCAGCGTCAGATCCCGTCTGAAGCAAAGGGCATGGGGCAGATTTAATGAAACGTAAGCTCACTTCTATTTAAATAAAGGAAACCTCACAGTTACAGCCTTTACAGTAAGGATGTTGAAACAAGAAAGATTTTAACAGCTTTCAGTGAGACTACTATGCCTTGGAGCTGTGGAGATGGCTTAGAAGATCACTGGTTGATCTTTTAAAGGACCTGGGTTCGATTCCCAGAACCCACGTAGTAGCTAGCAACCCTTTGCTACTCCAGTTCCAGGCGTTTTGTAGGTGCCAGGCATACAGGTAGTTCACAGACATGCATGTGTGCAAAACACCCATATACATAAATATATAAAACTATATAATATATTATATATAAATATTATATATTTATATACATAAATATATAAAAGCAAAAAGAAATAGGAATCATTAGATATCGCCAGAGGGGGATAAAGTGGTTCAGCTACTTTGGGAAATAGTGTGAGCGTGCAGCTCAGCAGCTCCATGTCAGTGTACTTGGGGCTGGTGAGGTTTCTGAGTGGGTAAAGGCTCTCTCCTCAGCAAGGCTGAGTGCAGCCTTGGAACGTACGAGGTAGAAGGAGAGAGAAACAGTTCATGCACATCCTCTCACCTCACACCATAACATGCACGCTCACACAGTGGCGTGTGCACACACACGTGCAAAGTAAGAAAACAGTGTATATTGATATTAAACCCTGTAAGTAAAAGTCCAGCACTGCTTCCATCTGTGGTTGCCAAAAGCTGGAAGCAAGGGGGGTGGGGAGGTATACGCCTCAGCAGTAAACCTCCTGCTGCATGGGGACCAGAACTATGCACAGGGCGATTCTGTGGGATGATGTTTCCAAGAAGGCAGAGCCAGGTAGAAACCCAACCCATCAGTGCCCAGCGGTTGCTCACTCCGCCCTCGCTCAAGCTCATTCGCAGTAGTGGTAGCAACTGCGGAAAAACTGACCTAAGGGATTATTTTATGGTGATGGAAAATGTTCTAAAACTGGATTGTGGTGGTTGGTTATACAAATGTTTAAATATGCTAAGACTGTCGGGTTGGATGGGTTTTATGGTATGCAAACGAAACCTCAAAAATTGGTTTTTATTTTGAAAAATTAACAGTCAATCTCAGACTCTGGATATTTAAATTTGGGAAAAAAAAAACAAATAACTTCTCTCCACCATAGACCCGTCCTCCCACTGACGCCAGCTTCAACTTCGATGCCAACAAGCAACAGAGACAACTCATTGCAGAACTGGAAAACAAGAACAGGTGAGAACTCACCTGTTTCCCACGGCCAGGAACATCGCCTCACAGACTACTTGGCTAGTTTGCTTGCTTTTTTTCCTTCTCTGAGATGATCCCTTGTAACCGAGGCTGACAGGGTGTAACACAAGCTGACTTTGCTATCTTGACCCTCCTGCCTGCCCCCTCAAGTGCTAGGATTACAGACATGTCACCACACCCAGCTCTCTACGACCCCTCAGTAGACAGGAATAGCTCAGGACCGGGAGATAACACTGCATGCTGTTGGTTCAGATTGACCTACGCTCTGATCTACCTCTAGAGAGTCTCTGTTTGGGGACTCCTCCCATCCACCAGTGTGTCCCCCACAGTTCCTTACCCCAAGGGTGTCCCTCACAGTTCCTTGCCCCACTCCTTCCCAGTAGCATTTTGCTCTGTCTTAGCAGCTTTTCGTGGCCTCTTACGCTGCATGTTACCAGTCTCATTTTATTTTAAAAGGCCATTTTAAAGGTTGCTAAAAGACCTGGGGATCACACATTACATCACTGTGCAGTGAGAGGTAGAAACCAGAACGAGGAGACTGACCCTTGTGTAGCATGCTCTGGGGAGGGACTGGCAGCAACCTCCAGTCAGGAGCCAGGAATCAAGCGAAGAGAGTGGAGAAAGCATTGGGAAGTCCGCATACGTCCTACCTCAGGAGGTTTTAAAGAGTTCTTTCCCTGAAGTGGAACAGGGTAAATAAAATGTTGCAGTCGTCATTTTCCCTTCCTGGAGAGGGTTCAAGGTCTTGAGAAGAATGTCATCTCTGGGCAGAGCTCCTGAGGAGCCGTCAGGTGAAACTGTTGAGGAGGTATCCATCTCCCACTTGGAGGATCAGTAGCCTCAGAACAGAGGGTTAAGGAGGCACTGAGGGGGTGAAAACATCTACTGGGAAGAAAGAGCCGTCACTAACAAGCGCCTCTCACCATCTCAGAGAGATCCTGCAGGAGATCCAGCGCCTACGGCTGGAGCATGAGCAGGCTTCCCAGCCCACTCCTGAGAAGGCCCAGCAAAACCCCACGCTGCTAGCGGAGCTGCGCTTGCTGAGGTAAGTAAGTATGCGTCCACCCGTTCCCAAACAACAGCCTGTGGTGGGAATTTCCTTCTTCAGCCTCCCCAGGGCTAGGGTTATAGGCCTGCACCACAGCATCTGGGATACACATAGCTGAATAGAACGGAATTTTTTAGTGTTTTCTTTATAGCCTTAATCGTGATTTCTTTTAGGTAGGGAACAATGATTATTAGAATTCTACTTGTACCTGTCTGTCATTTAGATTCTTATCATCAATAAATAAAGCATAAAGAGTTGAGACCAGCCTGGCGGTTTAAAGACGCACGCCTTTAATCCCAGCACTTGGGAAGCAGAGACAGGTGGATCTCTATGAGTTCGAGGCCATCCTGATCTACAAGAGCTAGTTCCAGAACAGGCACCAAAAACTACAGAGAAACCCTGTCTCAAAAGTCAAAAAAAAAAAAAAAAAAAAAAAAAAAGAGTTGAAACCATTCAAATGAACGCAGTTAGCCAGCATCAAGTGTCCTTCCCTAAAGCTTCATTTCAGGCTGGACATACCTTTAATATGTCAGTGCATACCTTTAACCCAGCACTTGAAGCAGAAGCAGGAGGATCTCTGTGAGTTCAAGGGGGCAGCCATGGATGAATAGTGAGACCTTATCTCAGGAGAAAAAGAAATCCTCATTTGAGTTTGGGATTTAGTTGGGCTGTGTTTTTGGTGGCCCATTGTTCACTGTCACACATAGGGTAAGCGCTTTACTAAGAAAACCTGAGGAAACAGATGCTGACTCCAGCAGAGGGGAAGAGGCAGCCATCAGCGTAAGGCACACTTGCTTCCCTTCCTCTGCTCCCAGCTCAGGTACAGGTGACGATTTTTGTATCTCGAAAAGCAAAAACTGAGCCGGGCGGTGGTGGCGCACACAAAGCCCTGGGTTCAGTCCCAGCACAGCATAAACCAGGCATGGTAGTGCGTGCCTGTAACCCCAGCACTTGGGCGGCTGAGACAAGAGAATCAGAAGCAGCTCAGGGTCACCCTCAGCTGCGTAACATTTAGGTCAGCAGATGATGGAGACAAAGCAAGGTGGGATCCGCTTGTAGCTATTTCATGCCCTTTTGGTTTTGACCTGGATGTGTGAGTTCAGGACCTGCCAGTCACAGAGCTTTGTTTCTGATGGGATCCTTCCTCCCCTCGCAGGCAAAGGAAAGATGAACTGGAGCAGAGGATGTCAGCACTGCAGGAGAGCAGGCGGGAGCTGATGGTGCAGCTGGAGGGGCTGATGAAGCTGCTAAAGGTAAGAACCTGTGTGCTCTCCTCCCGCTGCCTCTCACAGAGGCTTGACCGCGGGGCCCGAAGACCGTTTCCAAGTACACTTGCACAAGTGTAACCTGATTGGGTATCAGTCATCGAAGTTAGTGCCTTCAAAATGCCTCAGCTGTAAAGGCGCTTGCTGACAAGCATGATGACCTGGGTTCAAACCCTAGGACCCACAGGGTGGAAGGGGAGAACTAGCTCCTGCAAAGTGTCCTGACTTCTGCATGCACATACATGAACACATATACACACAGTTAATAAATGTAAACAAAATAAAATAATAGCATTAGGACTAGAATAATGTTCTTAAGTAATTGCTTTGGCTCAGTGGTTAAGAGCACTCGCTGCTCTTCCAGAAGACTCACATTCTGTTTCCAGCCCCCACATGCAGCTCACAACCATTTGTAACTCCAGTTCCAGGGGATCCAACACCCTCTTCTGGCCTCCATGGACATCAGGCCCACAAGTGGTGAACATAATAAATGCAAGGAAAACACTCACATACATAAAAGTAAAATAATTGCAAATAAGGATATTTGTCAATCAGGTGTTAACTATGTATAAGTGAAAATTATTTCTCAACTAAGTTTCTTTTAAGACAAGTTTTCAAACAGCCTACCTACAAACGTCAATTGCCCTCTTTTTAATAAGAAGTGCAGCAGCAAACTGTGTTAGGATGTTTGCAGAGAAACAGTACCAACAGGTTATTTATAGCTATATAAGGGGATTTATATGGCAAGGGGCTTGCTCTATCATGGAGGCAGAGGACTCTGCTAGGGAGACACAAGAAAGCCATGGTGTGTCTGGAGGCCTGAGAACCTGGGGTACTGACTCTGTCTCCCCAATCAGTCCAGAAGGTGACTTGTAAGGAATGGGTGTTGCATCGACCTTACTCCTGAAGTCTTGGTGGGACAAAGCCAGGTATAGATAAGAAACACTGCTCCCCAAGAGAGAACACACTTGTTTTCTCTGCCTTCTGGTTCTATCCAGTTCCTCTGTGGTCTGGATGGCGTCTTTCCCTGTTGGCTGGAAGCAGATCTTCTGTCCTTGCTCTGCTGGTTCCAGTACCAAGCTCTTTTCAGTATTCTCAGGGGCAGTCCTGGGAATACTGTATTTCTGTGAATATCCATTAACCCGGTCAGGTGGACACAAAGGGAAACATCACATAAACCAGCTTACTCATCCTGATTCTGAATAGTAACTCTACTACTGGGGGGCGGGGATCAGAATATCCACTCTAGGCTTAGTGTATAGGGGACGTGGATAAATTTACACTTTCGGCTTTTCCACTTTCTGCTGAGAAGTACATTATAGCCCCTTACTCTAGATAAGAGGAAGGCAATGGTTGGCATTAAACACCCTCTCCTGCACAGCGTGTTTGTGCTGAGCACTCAGTGGATTGTCTAGCAGAGATTCGAGGATGGTTGCCTGTGCCCATGTGGTTGGTGTTCAAGGCTGTGCCCCCACCACATCGTACAGTGTGCCACACAGTTCTCTGAAGAGAGGGAGCTAAATCTGTGACAAAGAGGAGTTGTTAAAGATATAAGAAAAAATAAGTTTGAGACAATACTAGGCAAGCTAGAAGAGCAAGAGGCCAGATGATAATAGGAGACTCGTGTAATCACGTGACCAGGTCAGAGGTAACAAAGGTCCAGCTAGGAGTGGTAACTCGAGAAAGCCGGAGCTGAGACGTCTCCTCAGTGTCTACGTCGGCAGCCAGCCCCTTAGTAGCAATAACGTGGGTTCTGGCGACTAGCAGTAGTGTTATGTTTTACTTCCTCAAGCAATTACTTCTTTTAGTCCTGAGCTGAGGTTTTTTTCCCTAGCTTGGTCCTGGTATTTGGTTTGTTTTACATGGACGGACGTGCTTCTGCACAGACCCCGTTACAGATTTCCCCTCAGAAACATTTGATGTGCAAGGGAGTCTAATTTCAAGAAAATCTTATTCCAGAGACTTGGTTGGTCCAGTTCCCTGGCGATGTCGATCCTCAGCTCAGGGGCCCCATCCCCAACTCACAGCCGCAGCTGTGTACATAAACATTTGTCCCATGTGATACCTCTTGCCTTGTGAGGTGTTGAAAACTCCACCGTATGGAGCTGGCACACTTGGAGGGCAGGAGATGCTGTGAGCATGCCCCTCCCTGTGTCAGCCTCTTTCAGGGAGAAGTGCCCACACGTAGACGGGCAGGTGCCCAGCTGTGATTTTTGGTTTGCTTTACTTTGGTCTTACTGTGTACCTTAGCTGGCCTGGAATTCAGAGATCTGCCTGCCTCTACCTCTCAAGGGCTGGGGTTACTGTGTACCACTGTGCCCTCTTCTGACCCTCTGAGTGCACCTGTATGCACCTGGTGCACACATAGATAAGCAGGTGCACACACATACACATAAGTGAAAAATAAATCATAGACCAGATGTGGTGATCCACGCCATTAATCCCAGTACTTAGGTGGCAAAATCTAGGAATCTCTGAGTTCAAGGGCAACCTGGCCTGCATACTGAGATTCTGTCTCAAAATAGTGATAATAATTATTATTAATTACTAATATGTGTGTATATTTTTTCAAGTTTCTAGATGTCATGTTAAATATTTGATGAATAATGGCTAGACTCAGTCCCTGTCACCAAGGAGTGTCTACAGTCTTCTCATTAGTTTTTTCCCTTAATGATATAATGACATTGACACTCAGGTACCATGTTCTATATGTTTTCTTTATATTTTTTCTTGATTATCAATATGTAACTAACCTCTGTCTCAAACTACTTACTTAATCTATAAGTAATTATATGTCAGTATTTCTGTTTCTAACTCTTGTTTCCAACATTTTTACTTCATTCTAATTCTCGAATTTTGCTTTTGCGTTTGTTTTTGATACAGACTACCATAGGGCTTACCTGTAGCTCTAAGCTGGCCTTGAACTCGTGATGCTTCTGCCTCAGCATCTTAGAGTTCTGGGATTGCAGGCATTAACCCCTCTGCTTGGGCTAGATTGCCAGTCTCTTTGTAGAAGATGGCAGTTACTATGCTATTACTACTTCCGCCACATGGAAGAGATAGATTCATGTGTTTTAGATTTGTGCCCCATCGCTAAGATGTTATGACCCCTTTGAATCAGGTTAGTACTATCTCTTGTCGTCGGTCCATGTTGACTGGTCCTAGCAGACTGATACAGAATGCTCTCCGACCTTATATCTGACCTTTTTACTGTGTTGACAGAGCCCTAGAGGCTTTGTGTGACTAGCTTTTTTGAGTTTGGGTGCCACCAGTCTAGGGAACACTTTGCCAGAATCTACTCTTTTAATATTGTCCTGTTCATCAGCCCATTCTAGCCTGACCCAGGTCTCCCAGATAAGAAAGAATGGTTTTATGGCCTGGGACAACGTACACGGCAGAGTGAGCATGGTGTGGTCTTGAAACATCGTTTCTGAAATTTCCGTACTTCATTTCATTTTTTTTCTTTCAAGACTGACCTTGAGACGGTCCTTTTCCCTAAGCCTCCCAAAGTGCTGGGAATACAGGTATGAGCCAACACAGCAGCTTCCCTGTTCTGTTAAGCCAAAACTGTGGTTTCTTCAATACCAGACCTGAGGTACATGGTATACTTAGTGTTCTCAGTCCAGCCAGGATTGCAACCTGTGAAGAGTGTCCCACCCTCCCAACTGGTCTCACTACATAAGCATGGCTATGCTGGAGTTCACTAGGAGTTCACTGTGTGGACCAGGCTGGCCTTGAACTCACAGAGCTCCATCTTCCTCTGACTCCTCAATGCTTGGATTAAAGTTGTGTGCCACCACACCCAGCCCATCTCAGTTTCTATTTGAGCAAGTAGTGTCAGCAGTTTCTAAACTGTATAATGCCTCTCCTACGGCTGCTTCCTCGCCCATTGGGAGTTGGAGATGCACTTGCCTCAGAGAAGCATCCTCTCAAGCTGCATTAGTCCCTCCATGCTGCAGGTATGCTGGAAAGCCTCTGACTTCTCAGGTGACCCAGGCAGTACTCAGGGCCCCTGGTCTGGCTACTAGGGTTAAGTCCCAATGCAGGCAGCTGGCTTTCATCATAAAAATCTCCTTTCCCAGCTAAACTGGGCCTCAAGGGATTTCTTGGTGCTCACAAAGTTTCGAGTCCATATCTGCCTCTCCCTTTTGCAAGAATAAAAATATTGTCCATGTTCCCCCTCTCCTTGCGCAGTTCCTTTGCAGCACCAAATCACTGTGCCCTCACACCCAGACCTGCAGCCCTTCAAGAGCAGGAGCATATCCCTTCCTGTGTCCCTCCACCCATGTACCGTGGGGACCACCATACCTGTGGACCCAGCATAGATGGAGCCATCATAGCCACATATGGATTTATTACTGGGGCACGTTGGAGGCTCCCTGACCATGATGAGGCACAAAAAGAAAAAGAAAAGAGACCAGAAAGACAATGACTGAGGAGCTCAGGACCAAGACAAGAGTCACTCTAAAGGTTTTCTCTTTACTCCGTTCATCTTTTTTTCTACAGTCCTTGGTACTGCAGTCATCTCTCAACCATAGTTGGTATGTCCAGCTCGGCCTGCCCTTACTGTAAGGTTATAACAGAGAAGCCCATCTTTGTTTTCAGTGCGTTATGCAGGAGAATTACTAGATAAACCTGTGCTGGAATAATAAAGAACTGAGAATGAGAATTCCATTCTCCTCTCCCTCCCTCCGACAAGCCCTTGTCATGTAGCCCAAGCTGTCCTAGAATGCAGCTTCTCCTCTTGCCTCTGCCTTCCCCGTGCTGGGTCTAAAAGCATGCACCACAATGCCCTAATTCTAAAATTCTTTTTCCCTTTCCCTTGGGGGGGGGTGTTATGTTTTATTTTATTTGTTTTATTGTGACATGGTCTCATGTATTCCAATTTGGTCTTTAACTCACTATGAGGCCAAAGATGGCCTTGAACTCCCTAGTGCCATAGTTACAGTCACGAGCTACCATACCTGGCTTACATAGTGCAGGAGGCC